TTGATTAAAGCTACAGGCCTCAGATAACATTTAAGAGATTGGCTCATGTTTTTAAATGTCCCACTTGTTATTAGAAGTTGCCACAGGGAAACTTATGGTCAGGGTCATAATTTTTCTTAATCAGGTATCTGCCTAAAATAGTTGAGATGTTTAGTTTCTTACTGAGAAAAATTCTGGTCTTTGCAATAGTATGGCCTTGAAGTTTTAAGGGAATCTTTATCATTAGGACTCCTAGGCTACAAAGAGCATCCCTGTGGCCTGGATTCAATATCAAGACAACTTTGTTTGTTTTTTGGAATTGTCTTTTCATAGATCCTAAAGTTCTTTTGTCCTTGAGCTTACATTTTATTTTTTTCCCAGAAAAATTTAGTAGGTTTATTTATAATTGTATAAAGTTGAACTGCTAGGGCCGGCCCGTGGCTCACTTGGGAGAGTGTGATGCTGATAATACCAGGGCCGCCGGTTCGGATCCCTATATAGGGATGGCCGGTTAGCTCACTTGGGAGAGCGCGGTGCTGACAACACCATGTCAAGGGTTAAGATCCCCTTACCAGTCAGCTTTTAAAATAAATAAATAAATAAAGTTGAACTGCTGATACTTGTTCACTGGAACATTTTGTCTTGCATTAATGCTTTATTTCACCACATTTATATTAAAAATTCACCCACAAATGAAAAGGGAAAAACTGCCAATACTTGATTTCTGTTCCCTGTTTTTCCACTTGCAGTCACATACTTGATACCTTTTGACCCCATGGAAAGAATATGGAATGTTCAGAATTACCAATAACAGGAAGAAGAGAATTTTTTTTTTTTTTTTGGAGAATGAAATGTTTCTCATCATAATGGATTCTTAAGCATGTTCTCCACGTATGTGGCATGCTAGCTGGATGTCTTTTGGCATAATTGTTACACATTTGGTGTGGATAGCACATGGTTGGTGTCTCAAAAAGGCCAACCAGATAGGCCTCGCTTGCCTCCTGCAAAGCACAAGTAGCTGCACTCTGGAGGCACAGATCTGGTTTAAAGGCCTGAACAATTTCTCACACCACATGCTGGAAGGAAAGTTTGTAAATCAGAAGTTCAGTGGATTTCTGATAATGTCTGATTTCATAGAGTGCCGAAGTGCCAGGCCTGTAATGATGAGGTTCTTCATCCTTCTAGTAAAGGGCATTCTCTTGTGTGCAGCTTTTGGAGCCAGTTGTTTCCTGGGTGTTTTACCACTGGTTTCTTTGCAGGCAGTCCGTTTGTATAAGCCATAGTGTAGAAACCTCCTGACTTACCCACTTCTCTTGCTGGAGTTCCAGGAACTAGAGATGGCACTGGCATTACAGAGTGACAGCAGCACGGTGCATTTATGTTTTTTTTCCTTCATTCCTGGTGTGCCAAGTTTTGTTGTATTATCATTTCTCTTCTTTTTGACAGACTTTCTTTGGCCATTCTTTTAGAGCAGTTCTGCTGCAATGAATTCTCTTAGTTTTCCTTCATCTGAGAATGTCTTTATTTCATCTTCATTCCTGAAAGATGTTTTCTCTGGATATAGAATTCTGTACTTACAGTTCTTTCATTCAGCACTTTAAAAATGTTGTTCCACTTCATTTGAATCATTGTTCCCTTAGTAATGAATGCCTCATTTTACTCTGGTTGCTTTCAAGATTTTTTCTTTGCCTTTTAGATTTCAGCTGTTAGATTACGATAAATCCAGGAGGGAATTTTGTTGTGTTTATCCTGTTTGGGGATTACTGAGCCTCTTGAATCTATTGGTTTATGTCTTTAGTCAAATTTGTGAAGTTTTCAGCCGCTATTTTTTCATATATTTCACTACACTCTTTCTCCTCCTCCTCTTTCTGGAACTCTGGCCTGAATATTAGGCTTTTTGGTATTTTTCTATAGATTCTTGATGATCTGTTCTTTTTTTTTTTCCCAATTATTTTTCTCTTTATTGTTTAGATTCATTATTCATATTTGATGTTTCTTTTGATCTATCTTCAAAATCAACGACTCTTTCCTCTATTATTTCTGTTCTGCTATTGAACCCATCAAGTGAGTGTTTATATTTTGGTTGTTATGTTTTTCAGTTCTAATATTTCCATTTGATTCTTCTTTATAACCTCTATTTCTTTGCTGAGACATTCTGTCTTTCCATTAGTTTCAAGAGTGTTTACCCTATCTCGTTGGAGCATGTTTATAATATCTGCTTTAAGGTTGTTGTCAGGCACTTAATTCCAACATCTGTGTCATCATGTTGTTTTGACTGTTCATCTCTTTTCCCCTGCAAATTGAAATTATTTTGGTTCTTTATATGCCAAGTCATTTGAGATTGTATCCTGGAAATGTTGAATGTTATATCATGAGGCTCTAGGTCTTGTTTAAATGCTAAGGTGAATGTTGACTTTTTTTGTTTTAAACAAATATTTGACCTGGTTAGTTTCAACTTGCAAGTTCTGTTCAGCCTTCTGTGGGTGGGGCTCCCAAAGTCATTTCAGTTTTTGGAGTCTTTGCAGTGCTATTTAGATCTGCCCTGCATGTGCCCAGAAACTCATCTGGGACTTGGCTGGTGGCTATTCTTATAGTTCAGAATGACCTTATTGTTAGGAGGATACATACTGAATTATTTTAGGTGTGATGAGTCATGATGAGAACTTTTCAAATTGTTCCATTTATTATAAAGGATATTTTAAAGGATACAAATAAACAGCCAGACAAAAAGATACATAGGGTGAAGTCCAGAAGGGTCCTGAGTGCAGGAGCTTCTGTTCCCATGGACTTGGGGTGCGCCACCCTCTCAGCATACTGAGTTGAGCTATCCAGAAGCTCCCAGTACCATGTTTTTATGCAATGACAATATTAGCATGTGACAGCATTCTTCTCAAAATTGTCCAGAGTGGCTTCCCTCTTTATAGTAGAAATCGATTTAATATTTACCAGAGATTTATTAAGCGTCCGTTTTATATGTCTGTAAAAACATTTTATATGTCTATAAAGGCATTGTGCCAGTGCTGGGGATACAGGAGTTGGTAAGATGGAGAGAGTGCCTACCCTCATGGGGCTTGGAGAAGGCTGTATATAGCGAACTGGGTTTCAGTTTGACACAAGGCCTTTTCTGGTTGAAGTACAGGTCTGTGCAAGGAGTCTGGGAAGAAAATAGGATGGTGGGGTTTTACTTAACATAAAAGTAATATATGTTAATTTTAGAAAAGCCAAAAATTGCAGAAAAACTAAAATATCACTTTTAATTTACCACTTAATTGCCATTAACACTTTGGAGTATATAGTCCCATACGTTTTATACACATATATGTATGTTTTTTCTTTGAGGTATAGTTTACGTACAGTAAAATGCAGAGATCTTAAGTGGAGTTGGTAAGTTTTGTCAAATGCGTACACTCACATAACCTCACCCCAGTCAAGATGTGGAACATTGCTATCACCTCATGAAGCTCCCTCATGCCCTTTTCCAGTAAATTCACTTCTTCCAGAAACAACCACTGTTATGATTTCTGTTGTCATGGATTAGTTTTGCTTGTTCTTTAATGTCTTATAAGTAGAATTATTCAGTACAGTTGTTCTTCTTTGTCCACGAGGATTGATTCCTGGAACCCAGCAGATATCAGAATCTGTGGAAGCTCAAGTCCCTTATATAAAATTGCATAGTATTTGCATATAACCTATGTACACCCTCCCTTATATTTTAAATCATCTCTAGGTTACTTATAATACCTAATATAATGTAAATGCCATGTAAATAGTTATATTTTAAAAATTCATATTATTTTCTCTTTTTGTATTATTTTTATTGTTTTTCTTTTTCCAAATATTTTCAATCTGTGTTTATTTGAATTCGCATATGCAGAACCCTTGGATACATAGGGCTGACTCTATGTACACTTTTGTCTTTGGCTTCTTTTGCATATTTTTTTATTTTAACTTTTTAATAGATAATACATTTAGAAGGTTCTAAATTTTAAAGGTGGAAAGGATGTGCGGTGAAGAGTTTCCTTATCACTGCTCTCCCACCAACCACCTGCTCCTCTTTAGAGGCAAGGAATGTTTCTAGTTTCTTTGTATCCTTCCAGAGATTGTATGTATGTCCATATGTATATATTCTTATACCTATCTTTTTCACAAATAGCATAGCATGCACATTGTTGTGTACCTTTTTTAAAACTTAAAGACGTAATGGTTCCATATGAATACCTAAAAAAGCTTCCTAGTCACATATATGGCTTACTTATTGCTCATAGTATTCTATTTATCCAATGAGCCCCATGTTATTGGACTTTTAGTCTGTTGCCAATCCTTTGCTACTCCAAACATACCTCAGTTAAAACTCTATGCACTAATTATTTCTCATGAGTATGAGTGTATTGTTATTACACCATTTCAGGAGGGACATATTGTCTGGTTGTTTCTTTTTTGTGTGGTGTTAAGCTTGATCAACGGGTTCAGCTGTGGTCACCATGATTCATTGTTTATAGAGTTCCCATTTATAGAGTTCTTTATATTTTTCCCCAGCCTTTTGCCTAAGTTTTAGTAGCCATTGACGATCATTGTCTAGACCCATTATTTTGTCAGCGGTTGCAAAATGAGGATATTCTAATTTTGTCATTTGGCACAATTAGAATTCTGCATTTATTAGTTGGAATTCTTCTGTAAAGAACTGTGGTTGATTATGTAGCTAAATTCATAATTATTTCCTTAGGATGGGCTCCTAGAAATGGAATTGTGTGGGCGTAGGGTTTCTGTTCTTGAAGGCTTTTTATAAATATTGCCAGATTGCTCTTAAAGATGTAATATCAGTAAACACCTCTACCATTGTTATACGAGTGAAACACTGTTCGTAACTTGTAGAGATAGTGAAGAGAATTGGATGCCCGAGAGAGAGACCAACATAGTAAACGTCTTTGTCCATCAGAACTGTCATTCCTTGACATTTTCTATTAGATAGTGCTAATAATGGGTATTGGGGTAAATATAGTGTGTCATTGGAAATACTGTTCTGTGTTTTCCAATCTGTGTGCACTGAACATTTATTCATATTGAAATTAGAAGGACAATTAGATAATTTTGTTAGAAAAAAAGCACGACTTCATTTTTATAATATTTGACTATGTTTATTAACCATGTTTCAAAATATAATAGCCCTTTTAGCTTAAACAATTATAAAACTCTAATGTTTTTCTATTTTTTTCTTTGCAGTGATATTTCTGAGGGCAAACCACTGGAAGTAGAGATGGCAGGGATAGAATACATGAATGATGATCCTGGCATGGTGGATGTTCTTTATGCCAAAGTTCATATGAAAGATGGCTCCAACAGGTATATTTCTGGAATACTCCTTTGTTTCAACTGAGAGGTACTTAAAAGCATCCCTGGAACTTCAATTTATTTTGATTCCCTTTCTTTGAGATCTTATTATTGTAAAGAATGTGTCAGTTCTTTCTTCCTTTTTTTAAAATAGTAAGCTAATATCTTGAAAGAGGAATTTGTTGTAGGAAAAAGTATGTATCAGACGTTTTATCTAATAACTATTAAGTTACTTGAATAGTGGGTATTGTTAGCAACAATCTAGTCTTTGTGGAACTCAGTGTTGCTTTCATGTTTTCCAGGATAATAGGAGGCAGAAAGGATGGCATTTTAGGATGTGAGTTTCAAATGTGATGTAACGTAGATGTAGTGAGAATACCAGGACAAAATGGGAATGAAAACGTTACCAACTTTGTAGGAATATTAAGATTAAATTAATCTATGTAAAATGATTAGAACAGTGCCTGATACATACTTACATCATCAAAACATCAAAAAATGTTTAGTCTCTTTAGATTTTGTTATTACCACACTTAGATCACTTTTACGGATTCTCAGTCCAAGCAATTTCTAAGGCTGTTCTAGGCATTTAGAGCCATTTCCAAAGGTAGTGCCCCTTATTAGTTGACTCAAGGCCTCTGGTGAGTAGAGAAAGCCCAAGTTGAATTGGAAGTTTATTTTTTTGTGGTCTTTTCATTTAGGTCAAGGTAGAACAGGGCTCACACTGAATCAGTAAACTCTCTGGAGAATATCTGAGTCTCTAGGCAGGCCCCAAATTTATTTGCTTTCCTACAGGATCTCTTACAAGATTTCTGTTATGCTAATTCTAATTGATAATCCCAACTATCTCTTACCTCAATTCAATTGGAAATGAATTTGGATGGGAAGGAATTAAAAATGGTATAGAATCTGTTTTTTTGTGTTCTTTGCCAGATTTTTCTCTTCTAAAGAGCATTCTGATGACTGTACCTTAAAAACCAGGGGTACATTGTTACTTAACAGGAGATCATATACTAGGACATCTAACTATCCAAGTGCCTTCACAGCATTGTAGAACTACTATGTATGGAGCAGATGATTTTTCAGCTTTGTGAATAGAAACAGTGAGTGATCTGAGAAATTCTCAAACTTTTTAGTCTCATAATCTCTTTAAATTCTTAAAAATTATTGAGAACCCCAAAGAGCTTTTGTTTATTGGGTTATATCTGTCAATATTTACCTTATTAGAAATTAAAACTGAGAAATGTAGTATTTGTTAATTCATTTGAAAATAATAGCAATAAAATCATTTCTTGTTTACACAAGTAATATATTTTTCATGAAAAATCACTCTATTTTCCAAACCAAAAAAATCTAGTGAGAAAATAGGCAAGGCTTCACATTTTTGTAAATTTCTGTAATAGAAGACAACTGGCTTCTCATATCTGCTTCTGCACTCAGTCTATTGTAGTACATTGTTTTGAATGAAGTATATAAGAAAATCTGGCCTTACACAAATACGTAGTTGGGAAAGAAAAGAGTACATTAATGACCTTTTCAGAAAATTGTGGACATTTGATACTACACTACAACTTGACAAGTCATAGTGTCTTAAAGGTTAGTTGCAATGCAGAATCTGAAACCATATCAATGAATGTTTTGTGCTATGTTACATGAAAATCCATTGGTTTGTCTTGCATTTTGACTGAATCTTTAACCCGTGCACAATTTTGTAGCATTGGTTATTTAGAAGATACTGGTTCACTGAGTTACACATATCTTCCAATGTTGACACATTTCATTATTAAAATGCAATATTAAAAACATGTTAATATAACTACCAATTTCATTAAAATCTTTTAAGTATTGGGAAGCTGTCAAACTCATGGTGGCAGATATGCATTTTCCAAAATTCTGATTTTCACTTGAAAGTTCAGATTTTATTATTGGCAAAAAATACTGACATGTTTTCCTTGAAGTTTTTTTTTGAGAAAATTTCTGCCAAATAGCCAAGTCTGAATAACCATAATTTGTCTGTCAGTTGTTCTTTCAAGTAAAAATGGTGTTCCATGGAGCAGTTCATGTGAGGAGTTCCATGTGAGGCTAGTTCAGCTCACAACTCAGACAGCTCACAAGTGCTTTTCTTTCAGACAGCTGTATACTTCAGTGTACAGCCCAAGTGCTTTATACATACTGCTAATTTCATCATACAGAATATTTAAAAGATGTGTATTTAAGAGCTGAGATTTAATAAAATTTATCATTCTTACTACTTCACAAGGATAAAGGAAACTGGCTTTTGAAAAGCTGGGGCCGGCCGGGTGGCGCACTGCTATAGTGCGCCGCTTGGGAAGTGCGGTGGCGCTCCCGCCGAGGGTTCGGATCCCACATACAGACCGGCCGCTCACTGGCTGAGCGAGGGGCGGGAGCAACACCGAGGGTTGCGATCCCGTTGCTGGTCCCGGTCCGGTACGGGCGCGACACTGAGGGTTGCGATCCGTTGCCGGTCACGAAAAAAGACAAAAAGGAAAAAAATAAAAAATAAAAATAAATAAAAAGCTAGTGAGTGTATAGTGAAGAATATACTTCTACTAGTAGTACAGTTTGCTGCCACTGCTATAATTTATGTCAAGGTGCCAGCATTTTTACCCACTGTTGCTTTTGCACCATCCACGCAAATGTCATCCCAGTGAAAAAGGCAAATAATATTATATAACCATTATAAAAATAGTTTTGACCTCATGGCCTCCCTGAAAGAGTCTTGGATCTCCAGATGTCTATAGACCACATTGTGAGAACCTCTGGCATAAGTAAGATTTTATTTCATTTAGGATTGCATAGTTTCCCGGGAAATTATAATTAACTTTTGATTAGCACTTACTCTTGTCTTTCACTGTGCTTAGATTGTATTATCTCCATTTAATCTTTGCAGTGTTTGTATAAGATAGATACCATGTCCATCTTGTAGATCAGGGAAATTCAGAGAGCTTAAATAATTTGGCGAAGGTACACATAAATAGCAAAGCCATGTCATAACAGATTTTTAGTGTGTGTTTGCTAGGTTGAATAGGATAGACTATGTTCCAATTCTTACTCCTAGAATAAAATGGAAAATTTTGATCCATTTTTTTTGAAAGTGGTAAAATTCACATAACATAAAATTCATCATTTTAACCATTTTAAATTGTATAATTCAGTGGCATTTAGTACATTAACAACCATTATTTACCCAGCATTTAGTACATTCTGCAAACCATTATTGCTGTCTAGTTCCAGAACATTTTTATCACCCTGAAAGGAAATCCATACCCATTAAAATGCAGTTACTCCCCATATCACCTCCTCAGCTCCCGGCAACCACTAATCTCTGTCTCTATGGATTTGCCTATTGTGGATATTTGTATAAATGAAATCATACAATATGTGGTCTTTTGTGTCTGGCTTCTTTCACTTAGCATAATATTTTCAAGGTTCATGCATGTTGTAGCGTGTGTCAGTACTTTATTCCTTTTTATGACTGAATAACAAATAGCTCATGTATGGAGATACCACATTTTGTTTATCCATTCATCATTTTGACGGACACTTGTGTTGTTTCTACCTGTTGGCTATTGTGAATAGAGCTGTATTCAATTCTTTTGGGCTGATTTTTTAAATGTATTAAAGTCATGGCTTTTTATTCCTTGATCAACCATATAATATCACAGTGTGTCATGGCCACTCAGCCTGACCTCTGTTAGTTTCCGTATCCTTTGAGATGGAATTTATTTAATTTTTGTTAGTGCTATTGTTGATGCTGCTGCTGTTAGATTGCATAGTTTCTGGGGAAATTACAACTAACTCTTGGTTAGCACTTACTCTTGCCTGGTATTGTGTTTAGATTGTATTATCTCCATTTAGTCTTCGCTACATCTATATGAGGTAGATACTATTATGCAACTATGCAATTTAAACCTTGCTATTGTAAAACTACAATCTGTGCTAGCCTTAGACATACAGTTAACATGAAACCATGTGGAAAATTACATGAGATTTCAATGTTTCATCAAAATAGTGAATTTTTCTTAAATCTAGGGCTTTAATTCTGTTTTAACATACATATGACACAAACTCCACAGTTTTGGTTTATACTATCCTTAGTGGCTCCCAGAGGGGAAAAGAGTGGTCATTGGGAAAGGATGATAAAGTCATTTCCTTAAGTGTTTTCACTGGATATGTTTACCTTTTGCTTTAACAGTTAGTCCCTTGGTTCTATAGGTCTTCATGTATAGAAAATAGCAGCTTTGAGATTGAAAGAAAATAAGAGGTATAGAAACTCAATGTCTTTCAAAGACTGTGCTCAGACATAGTTTGTCCCCACACAAATGGAAGGGTAAGGGCTCAGAAGGTGAATACACCCTGTATTTTCCCACAAATCCAGTCCTACACATTTTGTACACTTCCTGTTGTCAAGACTTTGTAAGTTAAAAAGTCTTGTGAAATGTACACTGAATTGAATTCACTAATGTGATTTTGTTAGTCTGATTCTGTTGCTTATAATAAAATACACAGAACTGGGTAATTATTAAGAAAACAAAATTTATTGCTTACAGTTTTGGAGGCTTACAGTTTCCACAGTGCAGGGAACACATCTGGTGAGGGTCTTGGTGGTGGTGACAGTGACCCAGTGGTCTCAAATTGCAGAAAATGGTCAAGCAGAGAGCAAAACTCTTCATGTGCTTTCCTTTTAAATTCCTCAGAGCCATGCCCCTGACCACCATTATTAATCCATTTGCTATGTGGCATGGTCCTACACAATCTAATGACCTCTTCCAGGCCCCACCTTTAATTACCATAATAGGATTTCCCACCCTCAACAGTTAACAGTGGAGATTAAGCCTCAGTGAGGTGGGGAGGTTGGGGCATCCAATCTACAACAGTGATCAACCAAGAATATTTTTGAGAAATTCCCATCTCTCTTACAGCTCTGTTTTCTCTTTTCTATGTCCATTCCTCTTCACAAGAAGAGCCATGTTTGTGTTATTTCAAAAAAG